GGGGGGCCCCCAGGGGGGCCCCCGGGGGGGCCCCCGGGGGGCCCCCTAGGGGACCCGCCTACAGGGGTTGAGGGGGCCCCCAGGGGGCCCCCAGGAGAACCTACTGAGGGGCCCCCCGGTGATGTCGATGTATCTCTTGGTGAAGGGGGCCCCCTGCGTCTTTGTATTGTCATTTCTTGGTGTTTGTTTGTTTGTTTTTTATTATGCATTTGTTGGTTAGAGGGTGGGTTAGTGTGAGGGTTTATATATATATATATATATATATATATATATATATATATATATACAGAGAGAGAGAGAGAGAGAGAGATAGAGACAGAGACAGAGAGAGAGAAAAAAAAAAAGAGAGAGAGGGGATCGGGATCGTGTTTGGTTAGCTAGCAGCAGAGTATAAGATAGAAATACAGAGTGAGGCTGCGGCTGGGGTGTATGGGGAGCTTTTGTATGAGAAAAAGAGAGAAAACACAAAAAAAAAGAGAAAATAATAAATAAAAATATAAAACAACTCAATATAATGCAATAAATTAAATTTATTTTCGTTTTTTTTCTTCTTTTTGAGGCAGAGAAACAAACAACAGAGCGTCGGCGGCCATCAAGGAGAAAAAGAGAGAAAAAAAGAGAAAAATAAAGGGGTTCTGGGGTGTATATGTTTGTTTTTTTGTTTATATTTACATTCTTTTTATTTATAAAAAGAAATAATACACTAAAAATACAATAAAATACATACAGAGACAAAATAAATACACAAACAAAAACGCCTAGGGGCCCCCCAGCATACACCACGTCTCTGGCTGGGGTGTACATACACCTCAGTTTTTTGTTTTTTTTTTTTATTTTTTTATATAAATTATTTATTTTATTTATTAATATTTTAATAAATAAATAATTATTAATATAATTACATAACCTGTTTATATTCTCCCTCTTTTCTCTCTCTTCTTTTTCTTTTTCTTTTTTTCTTTCTGCTGCCTATACACCTGAACACAGCCAGCTGCTCAGCATACACAGCCCCTCTCCCTCTGCATGCGTTTTGTCTCTGTTATATACACCTACAGCTAGCCACAGCTAGCTACAGCTAGCCACAGCTAGCCGCAGCTAGCCACAGCTAGCTACAACTAGCCACAGCTAGCCACAGCTAGCCACAGCTAGCCTCGGCTAGCTACAGCTAGCCACAGCTAGCCACAGCTAGCTACAGCTAGCTACAGCTAGCTACAGCTAGCCGCAGCTAGCCACAGCTAGCCATAGCTAGCCACAGACATCTACAGCTAGCTACAGCTACATACAGCTAGCTACAGCTAGTTTTTGTATGTATTTAGAGTGTCTATGCATCTATATAGACGTTTACCCTTCATCTAGGACTGTTATCTAAAGCAGACATCTCCCTATAGCC